ATGGGAAATAGAAAATGGGGATGACGATAATGCTACTCTATATTTATATAGAAAGTCTTATGGTATAGAATTCTTATCACATGAGAACAACTCTTGTAGAAAATAAATTAAAGTTTTTTTCGTGCCTTTCTCTATTACTAAATTATAAATAAGGCTAAATTGTAGCAATGCTCTCTCGACTATGATCCGACTTTACTTTTCGTCCCTCATGTTGCAAAATTTTATGGTCGTCCTTCAAAAAGATCTTGCATTGCACCATTAGTCATTTCCGTCAATTCTGTTTGTTTTTCCGTCAAAATTGATCACATGTCATGTCAGGCACATTATAGATATTTTAGGGATAAATAAGACTTTTACCTAACCACCACCTTCTTCTACCTAAACCCAATTGCATGCCATTCTCTTCCCCCCAAATCTGCCCATCCATCTACCTCACCAACCTAGCAACCCAAACCATCCTAGATGACTCAAAGACTCCAGCACCTTCTGGTGATATATTCCAAGTCTCCTCTGGTATGTCAACCACTTCCCCTCAAAACCATGATGGATTTTATCTGGACATAGTAAAATGCATCAGCATGGTTTTCTTTGCCTCCAACCAATGAGGTGTAGCTCAACTTTGGGTGGCTGAAGAGCTCTTTATCCTCTCCAAAAATCAACTTGCTGCTAAAATCAACTTTCCCAATCATCAAACCCTGCTTCCCCACATGCTCAAATGGAGAGACTGGGTTGATTTTTTAATGCGTTTATTTATCTAATAAATATTTTATATGGGATTTCCCAATTTGCCCTTAATAATAACATAAAATTTAACTTCGTTGACGAAAAGACCACTAACGCAACACGAGGTGGAATTGAAGGATGACCACAACAATTTTGGGACATGAAGGGCGAAAAGTAAAGTTCGGTCTTATTTGAAGGACCATTACTACAATTTAGCCTATAAATAAACATTGCCTCAAAGATGATGTTTCATCATGATGCTAAATTTTATTGCCCCGCTATCTCTGTGAGCCCCGGGGCCAGATGAGGATGGCACTCCCTACTCCATCCCCATTCCACCCCAACCATGTATACCAAAATAAATATAAATTCTGTATATGTGTACAAGTTAACTCACAATTGTATCCGTAGTTTAGTATTTTAGTGTGATTGTATGATTATATGTTGTATTAGGTAAATAGTATGTGTTATTACATTTTCTATACAGTACATTACGATTTTGGAAAATCTGCATAAACACACCTAAACTTTTAGGCATGTGCATGATTACCACCTATACTTTTAATTTTTACTATTAACCACCTGAACTATGTAAAATGTTGCAATTTATCACATACGCTTAACTCCGTTAAAGTTTCCATTAAGTCAAGTTACATAATGCACTGTGTTATTTGTTGAAAAACAATTCTTGAAATCCTAAAAAAAATTCGAAATTTGGGGGATCTTTTCTAAACATGTAATTTCTAACACATGACCAGAGATACAAATGTGAATTGTATAGAAGCGGTCGGTACTCAGAAATTGGAAAGAAAAAAATTGTGACACATCATCCGCCCCTTTGACGTCATATTTCATAAATTTATCCGATATATCATACAATCACTGTAAAAAAAAAAATCAGTAAGTATATGAGAACGGGCAACAATTGAAGATCTACACAAAGTCAACGCCAGATTAACCAGAAACCGTTTTGCATGCATCATGCATAAACTTATTATGATCACCACTACCAGGATGATACATGAACACGATGAATCGATGGTAAGTTTGTATCCATGCAGATCCGATTGGCATGGTTTCTCCTTCTCACTTTCTCAACTATCATTATATCATATATCTTCCACTACTTCTTCCACCTTCACTAAGTTGGCATGGCCAACCTTCTTCCTCAAACACAGAGCTAAGCTAGCTGCATCAACTCGATCTCCAATGATCACCATCTGATCTTTCTTTTCCTCGTTGAAAGCCACTGAATTAACGCCATCAGCTACAGCGGCTATCTTCATGGCCTTGGCACGATGTTTTCTGCTTCTCATCTGCACCTCAATGACAATTTTTTGCTGTGCAATTAATTCAAAAAAGCATGTCACATATAACATATTTATTTGGCTTTGCGGCAGTACTATCTCCTCGTACAATAGAACTTGTTTTCTTTTACCCTTTTCTTGAAAACTAAATTAGCGTTCACATATCCAAATTTGATATCGAAAGGTACATACAAGTCTTTCGATTCATGTGTAAAATCAAAATAATCAATCTTTTATATGGAGAAAACCAAAAGACATATTCAAGAACTTTTTCAAGTTTAAAAGATTATAAATATAAATATAGCTTTGGAAAACAGATAGTTTCTCTTTTCATATAGAAAATCATCAGCTAACTTTTTAACATATGATATCTACGTACCAATGAAAGGAGAACTATAGAAATTAAAAAAGTTGACAATCATTGATGTATGTAAGACACATAATAAAAGTTATATATATCAACAGTTAAGAATCGTACGTACTCATGACCTACTGTCCTTATAAATTTTTTAGTAAAACCCTTCACTTTTTGTTCCTATAAATAATACCCAATTTGTATAAGTAAAAACTCATGACTAGGATCCAACTCAGCAAGTTACCTAATTAAGCATAAAATCTGATTTATTGTACTTTTTAGATTCCAAAAATACCCCCAACTAAACCATTATTGCATTTTGTATATTAATGTAGGAATCAATATGGAAACAGTTTTTAATTGGATTGTATATAATGACAGATGTTGAATTTGGAAATATCTCCAAATGGTTGTAATAGATGTAGGAATTAATTTTGGAACATTTAAAAAATAAAATTAACAATAAATTCAAATTTGGGTAATTGGTTTGTTTAATAAAATGTTTATATTATTTTCTTTTTATGAATTATACATGACTAATAATCCACTTTATAATTGTTTATGAATAAAACTGTACATACT